GCACAGAATTCTTCTCATTGCAACTGGTATGGTGTTTCTTGCAGCAGCAATGGATTCCGAGTAGAATCCCTCCAACTTGGTAGACTTGGCCTTGTAGGCACCTTGGCCCCTTCCCTCTCAAATCTTACTTTCCTCCACACACTTAACCTTTCCCACAACCTTTTTCATGGCCAATTTCAGCTGGAATTTAGTAGGCTCTCACTTCTTCAGCACATTGACCTTAGAAACAATTCCCTTAATGGAACTGTTCCTGCCATTCTTTCTGATTTCCATAATCTTGAAACACTTAGGTTACAGGGGAACAATTTTAGCGGTATCCTTCCACCTGAACTAGGCAATCTCCAAAGACTCAGAGTCCTGGATATCTCTGTTAATAACCTCACTGGATCAATTCCTGCTTCATTTGGAAACCTTTCCTCTTTAACTTTTCTTGCTATTGCAAGAAACAAGCTAGTTGGTGAAATTCCCAGTGAGCTTGGTCAGCTTAGAAACCTTCAACAGATTCAGCTTTCTGAAAATCATCTGACTGGCCAAATCCCTTATTCTATTTTCAACATTACTTCTTTAGTTTACTTATCTGTAACAAAAAATAACCTTTCAGGAAATCTACCAAATGATATAGGTCAAGCTCTTCCAAATCTCAAGCAACTGTTTTTGGCACTAAACAGGTTTGAAGGAATTATACCTGCTTCTCTATCTAATGCTTCAAACATTGAATTTCTTGACCTGTCTAGAAATAGATTTCATGGGCCAATTCCTCTGCTTGGAAACATGAAGAAACTTATCAAGCTGGAACTTGGTTCAAATTCTCTCTCTTCTACTACAGCTCAGAATTTTCAGTTTATTGATTCTCTTACAAACTGTACGCAGCTAGAATATCTGATGATATATAGCAACAGACTTTCTGGTGAATTTCCCTCAGTCGCAAATCTGTCAAGCAATATCCAGCATTTTTGCATTTCTGATAATTTGTTGACTGGTAGCTTCCCTCGGGGGATTGAGAAGTTTCAAAATCTCATATCCCTTTCTATTGAGCAGAACTCTTTTACAGGTGAGATTCCAAGGAGTATAGCTACACTTAGAAATTTACAGAGCTTTTTGGTGTTCCAGAATATGTTCTCTGGAGAAATTCCAGAAATCTTTGCTAATTTTACACAAGTTTCCAAAATCCTAATGGACAATAACCAGTTCTCTGGTAAAATTCCTACCAGCCTTGGAAACTGCCGGCAACTACAGACATTAGACCTATCTTGGAATAGGCTCAATGGAAGCATACCAGAAGAGGTTTTCATGCTTTCTGGTTTAAACTACTTGATTCTGGTACATAACGTGCTTTGGGGTCCTCTCCCTAGTGAAGTTGGTAACTTAAAGCAACTTCAAGTGTTGGATGTTTCTCAAAATAAGTTGTTTGGAAATTTAACTTCATCAATTAGTGGCTGTTCAAGTTTACTCTATCTCAACATGTCGAGAAATAATATCAGTGGTGAAATCCCGGATTCATTAGGAAAGTTAGTATCACTAGAGGTTTTGGATCTCTCTTCTAACAATCTTTCTGGATCAATTCCACCAGACTTGGAAAATCTTCAGTTTCTCAAGATGTTAAATTTGTCTTTCAATCATTTGCAAGGAGAAGTTCCAACAGGAAAAGTCTTCTTGAACGTCAGCACGTTTTCTATCCAGGGAAACGACGCGCTATGCAGCAGTGATAAAGAAATTGCCAGAAATTTGGAGCTCCCTCAATGTAACACAAGGAAAAGGAAGAGAAATCAGCTGCTCAAAATTTTAGCTTCAGCTGCTGGAGCTGCTTTATTTATATGTTTGATTTTCTGCTTTGTATGGGCATTGATATCCAGAAAGAAGAAAAAGAGGGAGAAAGGCAGTAAATCTTCATTTTCATTGAAGGGGTTGCCTCCCATGATATCCTACTCTGATATCCGGCTTGCTACAAGCAATTTTGCAACTGAAAATCTGATTGGAAAGGGGGGTTTCGGGTCGGTTTATAAAGGTACATTCAGCACTAATGAAAACGGAGCGAACACCAACAATACTACCCTTGCTGTGAAGGTTCTTGACTTGCAACAAAGCAAAGCCATTCAAAGTTTTCTTGCTGAATGTGAGGCCTTGAGGAATGTTAGGCATCGAAACCTTGTGAAGATTATCACCTCATGCTCAAGCGTTGATCATAAAGGAGATGAATTCAAGGCCTTGGTTATGGAGTTCATGCCCAATGGCAACCTAGATAAGTGGTTGTATCCAGAAGATGAGGAATCTGGGTTATGTTTGACCTTTCTGCAAAGACTTAATATTGCCATCGATGTAGCTTCTGCCATAGATTATTTGCACAATGACTGTGAACCAACCGTTGTGCACTGTGATCTGAAACCTGCAAATGTCCTTTTGGATGAAGATATGGCTGCTCATGTAGGGGATTTTGGATTGGCAAGGTTTCTGTCTCGAAATCCATCGCAAGGGGAGAGTAGCACAATGAAAGTGAAAGGCTCAATTGGTTACATTGCTCCAGGTCAGTAAGTTACTCTTGTTAACTGCCCTTTTCCTTTTTTTTTTTAAGAGTAAGAAGTTATCTTTAAAGGTAAATTTTTATGTGATGGTCATAATTGTTAGTCTAATTTCTGCTGAATTTTTCTGTAGAGTATGGTCTAGGTAGCAGAGCTTCTACCAGTGGAGATGTGTACAGTTTTGGAATTCTGCTACTGGAAATGTTCATAGCAAAGAAGCCAACTGATGAAATGTTTAAAGAAGGATTAAGCCTAAATAAATTTGCATCAGCAGTGGATCCTAAGCAAATTTTTGGGACTGCCGACCCGAGGCTTTTTAAGAATCAAGGAGGTTTATTGCAAAGCTCGATCAATACTTGTTCTAGTGAAAGCAGCAGCAGCAGCAATAGCAGCAACAACAGTGGAAGTGATCGGCCCAGCAAATATGAAGAATGTTTAACAGCAGTGATAAGAGTTGCATTATGTTGTGCGGCTCAATCAGCCAAAGATCGTTTATCCACGAGAGAAACCTTGACGAAGTTGCAAGATATTAAGAAAATTTTACTCAAGTTAGGAGGCACCCATCACCCACTTGCTCCATGAGTGTGCTAATAGTTTTACTTGGAGTTGGTTCTAATGTATAGAAGCCGATGAATGTTTTTAATTGTATTACTATTGGGTAAATTATGATCAATTTTTAAGTAATAAAGTTTCAACTTATAACCAATATTTAATTCATATTTGATCCATTGTCACTTTATACTTTTATATACCGAATAGCTTACTACCTTCTAAAAAAAATTAAGAAAATTTGAGGGGTACAATTTACTAAGAGTACCAGATATTTAATGCTTGAGCTTGAGCAAAACTCAAGATACCAGTTGAACTTTGACAGAAAGGCGACCTTAATTAAGACAAAACTTCATCATTATCATTCATGATTAGCAAATTCATTTTTGTTTACTTTTTTTTTGCTTTCTAATTGTGTGTACTTTTAAATATTTTATTTCGGTTATTAATTTATTATTTTTAAAAAATTATATTATAATTAATATTATACAAAAAGTAATGGAAATAAATAAAACGAGAAAAAACAGCTACATTACGTAAATTATTGCAAAAGTAATCGAAACAAGTGACAGGTTTCATAAACTGTTTTTAACTTGAGATATTTTGAAGAATTTAACTTTGTGATTCAATTATGATAATAGTTCAGAAATCTTCCTATCTTTTCTTGAAGTACTTTCTCCTCTCATATTTTCTCTCTTAACTCGTTATCTGATACATTTTCCCTCTTACCTTCTACCTAAGAGCATTCGTATTACACTATTAATGGCTATAAAACACCAATTGCTTCAATAGTGACATAATGAATTTTTAATAATTACTCATTATATACAATAAAATTCACTTCTTCAATGTTATTATGAGTTTTAGTAACGATTATTCATTATGTATAGTAAAACTTTTCGTCGTGGAAATTGCTTTCTGGTTGCGGACTATGGTCTCTCTTGTGGAAATGCTCGCGATGCCGGTGCTTGAGTGGTTGACCTGCTAGAATTCGGTTTGACTTACGGGTGTTCGTTGATCTTTTATGTTAGAGATTTTTCATGATATAACGGTTCAGTGTCAATAAAATCACTTAAAAGAAAAAACTTTCCTTTTAATATTATTACTTAATATGTGCATTAAAATTTGTTTTTGATTAATTATTTTTTTTAATTTCATATATAGAATTTTGACAATTCATTTTGAACATAATAAAATTTATGGAGTTAGTAGAAACACGTTTTCAATATTAACTCTCTCTCTTGAAATATTCTCCGTCCATAGTCCTTTTTTTAATGCTTCTCTGCCCTCTTCTCAACCTTACTCCGTCACTCACTTGTTCTCTGCCTGTACTTACCCTTACTCCACTATTCTCAACCTTACTTCACAACACTTACATTTAAGATATTGTCCCAATCTTCCTCTACACCATCTCCAACACATCTTTTTACTTATTTAGAATACTTTCTCTCTCCCTGTTACAAGAATGCTTTACATTTTGTATATCATTATGTAGAATCAGTTTCTGCGTTTTCAACAGCTTCAAATTCAATAAAAAAAAAATTCCTGTTTTTGCAGGTTCACTTCTTTGTTTCAATTCCAGAAACAGAATGAGACAAACTTGTGTTTATGGGGTTGCTTTTTTTTTTTTGTTTTGTGGTTTGAAGAATCTGAAAAGAAGAGGCGCTAAAGTTCGAGATTGAATTGAGAAGACAGTAAAAAGTGTTCAGGCGTGGCACTTTGATTCTGCAAGCTATCGTTGGCTGCCACGAGTGTTATATGTTAGATAAAATCTTGGAAGCTTTGTAGTGAAACTTTCAACCGGTAGTCTTTTACTTGGGATCTCTTAGTGCCCGACTTTGTATCTTCTCGTGCGGTAAAAATTGAAAGTAATGATTAAGGGTTGGTTAATTTTTAATTAAAAATAAGTAAATGGAGTCACAGATACTAATATGGTTTGTGCCATTCATTTTATTCTCTTATATATTTTTCCGAACCATACACTCAATTCACTTAAAAACAAATACAGTAATGTCTTTTGCCCTTGTTCTTGTTATTCTTTTTCTTCTCAACTCTTTGCAGCTTCTTATTTGCAGCATGGATAGCCTCCTGATCCACTTGGTATATCAGGATATGCGTTGGGAGGGTTATAATAATTATCCAGAAGCTTCCGTCCTGCACCAGCATCATCAAATGTGGTTAATTAAAAGCCCACAATTAGTCTATAATTTGGAAGCTGTGCTGTAGCAGAGAAACAACTTACCCAGATTAATAGGTTTCAGGATCAAATCCTGAGGGATAACAGCAGCACTAGCAGATGACATAAGAACTATGATGGCTAAGAAAGCCACCAACATCTTCACTTGAGTGGACTGAGTCAAAGCCATTTGCCAACGTAATTGAATCTGCAAAGATGTTAGGGGACTTAGCTTGGAAATAGAGCAGGAGAGGGCAAGGGGTGATGGACAATGTCAGTTGAAGCTTAGTATTTATAGACAGAAAATCATGACTAATCATCACATTGCTGTATTCCACAATCTGAAATTTTTAAGTCAGTCTACACTGATGTCAAGAGTAAAGAATATTCAATGAACGACTGGGTCTCATGGTTGGTTGGTTAGGCATTGAATTGAAGATTGGCGTATGCTTGAATTGGGAAAAGGGTTGAAAAATCTGACGGGCAGAAAACTGCCATTTATATGTTTAATACTATACCGTATTTGAGAGGTAACTTTAAACAAAACAATCAATACAAACGATGATAATATTGATTCATGAAATCGAAGTCATGGTAAATTGCTTAATTAACTCATGACATCGGGAAAAAATAAGTACATGTTTGAATTGGAAAAGGTTAAAGCTTGCATTTATATGTATTCAATATGCATACCTAACAAGAAAATTTATATTTAAACAATCATTATCAATGTGATTATTGAATTTTGAATTCAACATGTTCACTTAAATGATATATTTTTTTTAATGGTGAATTAGTTTGTTGGGTACTGGCATTGGGAAAGATAGGTATATCTTTGAATTGGAAAGGAGTCGAAGAAAATTGGAAGGACATACAAGTTGCATGAATATTCAATACAAGACGCTCTGCATTTAAATGAATGATGAATAGGTATTGAATAATGAAGTCTTCCTTAATAGGTATTGAATAATGAAGTCTTCCTTAGTAGGTATTGAATAATGAAGTCTTCCTTGCGACAAACAACTGAAAAGTCATTTTGACATGGAAACATTGTTATTTGTTTTGCTTCTGAGACAGAGAGATACAAAGTGTCATGCATGCACCTAGCACTTAATTGCCAAGAAATTGCATTTGACCGACAAAGCATGGAGTTAAATATAGCATAGTACTAATCAAAAGCTATAGTTGGAAAGATTGAGTAGGACAGAAAGGGTAGTAATGAAAAGTTTCATCCGATTCTTTCAAAAAAGAAGATAAAACAAGTTTTCTCAGACACGAGCTTGAATTTGCAAGAGGTAGCTAAAAATACAAACAAAATAATGCTGACTTTATAGGGAGAGCATCATTCCAAGATTTGCAAACTCATCCGACCCTTTCAACACCGTATGGTTTGATAGCAGATGATTTCTCTGTCCATTGAACTTCTTTGGTTTTGTACAACTGTCACCGACTTCTTGGACCATACCAGAGTAGCATAAGGACAGAATATATTTGACTAAGCACTTAAAAGAGAGAAAAAAAAAAGGATTTATGGTAGGAAATAGTGACAAGAAAATTATAGTAATTCTAAATTGATTTATCCATATAATAACTAAAAAATGTTGTTCAAGATCAAATTCAAAAGGAAATTTGAATAAAATACTGGGTTTTATCTTATTATTGAAACGGTAAGAACAATGTTTTAACTGTGAATCAGGCCATCTTGTAATGTATGCTCTTGGAAGATAATCGGAAGAATCTTCTACCCAAAGCTTAAAAAGCTTCAAGTTGCAAAACATGTTTTGGCAGGGCAGTGTTGCTAGTCTATTAAGATGCCCTTTGACTGCTTCCCCGACCATCATTCTCCTTACTCCTTCTAGTAGCCTTCTGTTTCTTCTTTGACTTCCATAATGATTGCAATGGAATACATTTGGCATGGAGTTCTGAAGGATCTTTTCGATAATATTTATAATATAATTAGGTAACCCCACTAAAACTAATTTAGGATGACTTACCTGAAGATTGGGACAGACTACAGAGTTAAGACTTTTTCAAGCACCCTTTTGGTCTTCGGCGTTGAATCTTCTCCAAAAAGTCCACAACTCAATATCCATGGGTAATTATGTGTACAGAGATTCAAATTCTAAAACTATATGGCAAGGAGGGCAAGTTGAACCATATTTCTAAACCATGGAATACCTGCAGTTTCTGCTGCTGCTTTTCTCCTTATTCCAGACCCAATTTTACTCGGTTATGTGCCAGATGGGAAATTTGGATTCCAGAACTGACAAAGAAGCCTCGCTATCTTTCAAACTCCAGGTCAGTGATCCTCAGAATGCACTCTCGGAGTGGACACAGAATTCTTCTCATTGCAACTGGTATGGTGTTTCTTGCAGCAGCAATGGATCCCAAGTAGAATCCCTCCAGCTTGGTAGTCGTGGCCTCGCCTCGTAGGCACTTTAGTCCCTTCCCTCTCAAATCTTACTTTCCTCCACACACTCAACCTTTCCCACAACTTATTTCATGGCCAATTTCAGCTGGAGTTTAGTAGGCTCTCACTTCTTCAGCATATTGACCTTATGTTGTAACGTGTGGGTCCGAAAACCCGACAGCTAGACGTTAGCGAAAATAGATACCTAGGAGTCTCCACCAATCGTCTTTTCTATGTGCGATTGATCACCTATTAACTTGGCTCTAATCGACAAAATCTTAAATTAATTTTAGATTCATCAAAAGAATTGATCTACGATTTTTTAGAAGTAGGTTTGGGAGTGCGGTTACACACAGAGAAGGGTTAGCACCTCCGTGGCGCTCGTTCCACGAACGATACCATTTAATCTTAAGTTACCCTACTGTAACCTACCCTTAATTTTATTTTTATATTTACTTAATTCTTGCTTATTAATTAATTCTTTATTATATTTATTGATTAAATCTTTTTATTCGATTTTACGAATGTCCGTAATGCAGTTATAAAATGATGTCATGATTTATCAATTTTGAATTATGAGAACGACAACTTTGTATTGAAAAATTATTCGTAAACTATTCCAAAGCTTTGGTGAAGTTTCGAAGTTTTCATCACCTAAGGATATTCCCGAAAGAACTTATCTTGCTTTTTGAGGAAATCCCTTCATCGGAATTCTCGCTTCATTAACAAGATAAACGTGATATACTATGACAGAATAAAATGATAATATGCACATGAACGCATTTATTAATTTATTTGATTCGTTATTCATATAATAATATGTTTAATAATTTAAGGTGATTTATTACCTCATTCATATATTTATTATTATTATTTTTTAAAGCTTTTTATTTAAATCTATATTCCTTAATTAACATTATGGATTAATTTTTTTTATTTAACTATATATTTCTCTTTGGCCTCTTTTGTGAACTAGAGTTTTAGGGTTCTTATAGAATCTAATTATCCAAGGCAATCATGCTCTTCTCAGCATAAATTTCGGATGGGTGGCTTTCAAGTCAAAAACAAATCTGTCGAAAATGACCTCAAATCCAAACTGTCTGAAGAGCATTCAATGGTCTGTATTTTATTGACAATGGAGGCCAAACGTGCTTTCAGCTTTTTTTTGAATTTTGATTTAATTTATTTATTTTATTTTATTTTTTAAGAAGGGTGTCTACACCTTAGAAATAATTCCATTAATGGAACTGTTCTTGCTATTCTTTCTGATTGCCATAATCTTGAAACACTTGGATTACAAGGGAACAGTTTTAGTGATAACCTTCCACCTGAACTAGGCAATCTCCAAAGACTCAGAATCCTGGATATCTCTGTCAATAACCTCACTGGTTCACTTCCTCCTACATTTGCAAACCTTTCCTCTTTTAACTTTTCTTGCTTTTGCAAGAAACAAGTTAGTTAGAGAGATTACAGGTGAGCTTGGTCGGCTTAGAAACCTTCAACAGATTCAGCTTTCTGAAAATCTGTTAGAGAAGTGATCTTTATTTGGTTAATGAAAAGCTGAGTGGTTGTTGAAGAGGAGAAAATCAGTCGGCGGGCTGCAGTGACCACTTAAAGCTGTAAAGTAGCCGTTGGTGTCAAAATGCAGCAAGCTGGAGTCGTTTTCCACTTTGCTGATTTCCTAGTTAATAAAACGGTATTGAAGCATGTCGTTTTACTTAGTCTGCTTTTATGTTGTTTTCTCATACGATGTCGTTTAGCATGTCTTGTAAGGCTTTAAGAGGACAATACTGGTTCAGTTGGTTTTCTGTTGCTTGGCACTGGTTTTCATGGTGAATGCTAAGCTGATTGTAGGCTAAATTCATTTGTTGAAAATTGTTGCTACTCTTTAGGATCTAGAGAGTTTGAATGTTTAAATTCCTCATATAAATACTAAAAAGTGTATGAAGCAGTGTGTGGAATTCCAGCATATTTTTCCTACTCTGTTTTGAAAAGATTATTCTTCTCTTTTCTCTGCTATTTCTTCTTCCTTTATTCTCTGGAATTCCTAAATACTCAGTAATTCGAACATGGTATTAGAGCAGTTATTTCTTTAAGGGACCTGTGATCTGATCATCTATCTCTGAGTTTATCCTCTTCAAATCAAATAGTAACAGTTGGTTTCATTGCTGTCTCACCTCCAATTTTTTCTGGAGTGAATTATCGTTTTTGGGCTGTTAAGATGCGAAATTCCTCACACTGTACTTGGTATGGTGTTTCTTGCAGAAGTAAGGGATCCCGAGTACAATCCCTCCACCTTAGTAGGCTTGGCCTTGGCTGCACCTTAGGCCCTCAGCTCTCAAACCTCACTTTTCTCAACACACTTTACCTTTCCCACAACCTATTTCACGGCCAAATTCAGTTGGAGTTTAGTAGGCTTCAACTTCTGCAGCAAATTGACCTGAGGAATAATTCCATTAATGGAACTATTCCAGCTATTCTTTCTACTTGCCATAACCTTGAAACACTTCGACTAGAAGAAGACAGATTTGGTGGTAAGCTTCCACCTGAGTTGGGCAGTCTGCAAAAACTCAAAACTCTTCATGTCTCTATCAATAATCTCACTGGCTGAATCCCACATACATTTGGAAATCTTTCCTCTTTTAACTTCCCTTGCTCTTGCAAGAAACCAGCTTCTTGGTGAAATTCCAAGTGAGTTGGGTTACCTTCGCGACCTTCAATATTTTCAGCTCTCTGGGAACTATCTCAGTGGTGAAATCCCTTCTTCTGTTTACAACGTTTCATCTCTAGTCTTCTTATGTGTGACCCAAAATAACCTTGGAGGAAAATCACCAAATGATATTGT